CACCACCACCACCACCACCACCACCACCACCACCAAGCCAGCTTTGGCTGGATCGAGTCCAAATCCCAGAGGATATAGTTTATCAGAGTTTAGGCTATTTCCCTCAACTCTGCTATTGAAAACCATTTATAATAAAGCTCTTCACCTCTTTTGCCCAGAAGACCTGTGTTTGTCAGAGCAGTATTAGAGAAGAGAAATCACAGAATGTCAGTCGCCTTGTTTCTCAGTTGAGATGATATCACCAGTAAACTTTTATATGAAGCAATCAGCAAACATCTATTTCCCCCGACCGGAAGTTTGGGATTCAGGATAGCTTTTCAGCTGCTGTGTTGTGACACATTCCAGAGTTGAACGCAGGTCAAGGGCTGTGCAAGGTTTTATGGTTTCAATTCAAACCCAAACCTACATATAGTAGTGTGCTTTAAAAGAAAAAAAGTAGGCCGTAATCCATTCATGTGAGTTTTTTTTTTTAGCTTCAGAAGTTTAAAAAATTACAAAATATTTCATCTCTCATGGAGAGAGTTTAGTTACAGTTATGAAAAGGTTTCTCCCTCCAGCACATGGAGCTGTCAATCTATCTTCATTTTCAGAATTCTCCTAGAGCCATAAAAAGACTTGTTAACCATACTGCTTGTGATTATAAGTCACCCTTCTGAGCTCCTATAGTTGTTCAACTATGATAGCAGCTCCGGGATAGTAGATGAGGTGCTGAATCAGATCATACGGATTTACTAAGATGCAGGCACTGAAGGAAAGAGAGATTGAATGTCTACTCTGTAGCTTTGGACCAGGCAGCTCCTACTTTAATTGGATGACCCAACTAAAAATCTTTATCCACAAACCCAATCAAGCCAACATCGGTGAGAAACGGACAGAGCAGCCTGGGGCTGGTGAAGCCCTGCCATTCTGTGTTCCCATCAAAGAAGCAAGACTCTGGTTCGGGGGCTTCTAGTGCTTCAGCCTCAAAGGAGAGCCCCGCAGCCCTGGCACTTACCTGAGCAGAGGCCAAGGAACAGCAGCAGTGGCCGGGGCTCCATGGGCTGGTGGTGGGGTGTTCGCCTGGGCCGCTCTCTGGCTGGACACTCAGCTGCTGGAGGGTTTGGCAAGTGAGTGAGCTGAACCAAGCTATCGTTTACACCACCTGTTTGTGGCAGTGACAGCTGGGCTGCCCGGAGCCCTGGAGCCTGGGGCTGAGGTCCTTACGTTATTGCAGGGCGGACACCTCACACAACTGCTGGAACTTTGACAAGTTGAGGGTGAACTGCACTGTGTTTTCAATGCACCATGAGTCAGGTTTTCATAAAAAAAAAAAAAAAAACCCACGTTAGAGTAGGGAATGAATTATTTTGCCCGGTGAGCAACTCCCTCCCTTTTGTATAAACCAGAACCTCATCTGTGTGGATTGATTTGATCAGGGTCACTGGGTCTGAGTAGATAGTCAGCTGTGTGTGTAAGACACGGATCATCCTAAATCACAAAAGTCCACATTCTACAAAGAGGAAAATTTATTTGCTCTGGTTCCCTCTAGGCTGAGAATGCCTGGGGCTTCTGTGAGGGAATGAATTTGAGAAGAGTGGGGTTGGTGCCGCTGGAGGGAATTCCATGTTTGATTGGGTTTGGTTTCAGTGGCTTCTTCCATAAAACTGGTTTTACGATGGCCCCCGGAGTGGCTGTCCCCAGCCCTGTCTCTGTATCAGACAATACCTATCCTGCAGTGCGCCATTAGCGACAGCAAACAGCCCACCTCCCATGTCCTGTTATTCAAGTGAGAAGTAATTAATGGGAAAATTGTCCCACTGCATAAGCGCTGTTCCAGGCTCGTACTTCCTGCTCTCATTCCTCTGCCTACTCTCAGGGAAGCAAAGAGCAGAGTGCTTCAGTTTCTCAATTTATTTGTTTAAAAAAAAAAAATCCCGAAAGCCAGTAGTTAGTAATTGCTCAGTCATAGAAGGATTTTTACCAAAATAGAAAAGGGAGCAGTTATTTAAAGGCACCCTGCCGGTTCCTTCCTTGCTTCCTTCTCAAATTGAATCAGGTGACGAAGGTCCCTTCACCTGACAGCCTTATCTTTATTCATTTCTGTCTCTTTTCTGTCTCAGTGTCCCCACCCTGCCACCTCTCTGATAACCCATTGCTGGGTCTGCTTCTGGGTCTGCTTCAAGACAGAAGCCCAAGAACAGCATCCTGGCCAATTCCCCCATTCCAGTGAGTCCAAAGAAATAATTAGGGAGAGGACTGGGAGTGTAGTGAAGAGAGCTTAGAGTCTGCATTATTTATATATTTTTTGCTTTAAATTGTGGGAGATGTGCTGTCAACGAAAAAATTGGTTCCCTCCTTTCCATAGCATAGCACTGTGACTACAAAGCCAGGAATACATCCTTTCACCCTGTCCCTTACATCTACATAGAGCCATGGGACTGAGTTCTAGAAAATGAAATGGGAGGGGAAATTTTATGAGACTCACCATCCTCCCACTTGAGCTCGTCCATGCTCTTCTAGTCTCTGACTGGCTGGAATGGACATGGAATGGACATGACCCCCAGGGTGACCTTGGAAACCACATGTTGAAGGGGGCTTTGCTTTTGATATCCTGAATCCTTGAATGACTCCAGGGAGGAGGGCGCCCCATTGGCCCAGTTACCACCCAGCTCTATTTCATGAGAGAGAACAAAACTTTGTGTCAAGCCATCAAAATTCTTGGATTTATTTGTACAGAAGGTAGTTTTATCATCGTTAATACAAAATTTACTCCCTTGCATTGGGGATCCTAAAACATGTAGCACAGTGGGGAAGGTAAGAAAATTGGTATTGGAGGCAGAAAAGATGAAGATAATAGCAAATTACTTGATAAAACTGTTGTCCTGGATTTCTTCATGAGCAAAGTATGTACCAAGCTGGTGGCTCTGGAAGAGGTTGGAAAACACAAAGTCAGTGTTAGGGTTTTTTTGTCTGTTTGCTTGTTTTGTTTTCTGGCCACACGGTGTGGCTTGCAGGATCTTAGTTCCCTGACCAGGGATCGAACCCACGGCCCTGCAGTGGAACGGTAGAATCCTAACCACTGTACCTCCAGGGAATTCCCAGTTCTTACTGGCTTTGCCTAGGGAGTCTGTACAAGGAAGAGTCAAGCTCAGGCAACAATTGGTTGGTTCAAGAACAGAAATGAAAGGGATAGGATGAGTCCAGAAATCTGGAGCCTTCCGCTTTGAGCCCTAAGAGTAAGTGATAACATGGAGAAGAAAAATAAAAAAGGCTCTGAGCGACAAAAGCCCATTAGGACTTCTCAATACCTGGTCTCACCACTGTAGCAAAAATCGTTTAAGGTTGCTCTCTTCACGCTCAGGCCAATTTCTTTCCCAGAGGGCTTCAAGATGCTTTCCATTAAGTTGGAGGAGAGAAGCCTAGGGGTTAGGGTGCAAAGAGGTAAATCAGGCTTGAGAATTGTGTCTGGTAAAGAACCCTAGGTGTGCATACTGTCACGTGCAAATGACTGCAAAGAAAGATTTCAGAAGCTTACTAAATATTTGAAGGAATTGTATGGCCAAAGAATTCTGTGTTTTTTTAAGAGTTTTTTTTTTTAACATCTTTATTGGAGTATAATTGCTTTACAATGTTGTGTTAGTTTCTGCTGTATAACAAAGTGAATCAGCTATATGTATACATATATCCCCATATCCCCTCCCTCTTGCATCTCCCTCCCACCCTCCCTATCCCACCCCTCTAGGTGGACACAAAGCTCTGAGCTGATCTCCCTGTGCTATGTAGCTGCTTCCTACTAGCTATCTATTTTACATTTGGTAGTGTGTATATGTCCATGCCACTCTCTCACTTTGTCTAGAGTCTGTCATACAGAGTGAAGTCAGAAAGAGAAAAACAAAAACCGTATGCTAACACATATATATGGAATCGAAAAAAAAAAAGGTTCTGATGAACCTAGGGGCAGGACAGGAATAAAGATGCAGACGTAGAGAATGGACTTGAGGACACGGGGAGGGGGCCAAAGAGTTCTTGAACTCAGACTACAAAAACTTTGGTTGCCCAAGCCTTGAATCAGTCCTTGGGTACCCAAAGATGCACTGGGGGAAAGCAAGCTACAGTCTCTGCAGGAGGGCACTGTCCACACTGCTCACCTCACATGCGGCCTTGGAGATAACGGACCAGGAAGAACCCCGGCAGAGGGCACATCCAAGAGCCACGGAGGGCAATGGACAAGGGAGCTCTGCCCAGAGAGCAAAATCAGAGACTTAACCAAGGAATTGTTGCAGACCCTCTCAGTGCCCAGCCACGTTCCCTTGGCTTTCACCTCGACTTGGAGAAATCTACTGACTGCCCACCCTGGCTGTAGGACAGGGGACACGATGGAAGTGCAAGGGAATTAATGCCCCGCAAAACAGCCCTCAACCACTGTCGGAGGATAAATTCCTGCCTAGGATGGGATAACTGAGGCACTCTCTGCACTGCGTCCCAGGGTTCGTCCATGGGATGGAGTCTTGGTTGCCCCTAGTGGACGTGGCCTGACAGCCTTGTCTTTATTCATTTCTGTCTCTTTTCTGTCTCAGTGTCCCCACCCTGCCACCTCTCTGATAACCCCTTGCTGGGTCTGCTTCTGGGTCTGCTTCAAGACAGAATTTCTTGCACTGTCTGGGCAAGGGATCTTCATGATGATGTGAGTGGGTGCCTTTCCCACGTTTCCACCATCTTACCTATTCTCTTCTGTGGGCGAACTGCTGGAACTGCAGACTAAAAAATAAATAAAACTGCTATCATCCACAGGAGTAAACCTATTTTTTTTTCATTGAAAAGTTTATTATTAGAGTAATTCAACTTTATTATAGAAAAATTGGAAAACAGATGAACAAAAAGAAAAAATTTTACCCATGATCCTTCTACCAGAAATATCTATGGTTAATGGGTTATTTTATATACATTCAGACTCTTTCCATGCATTTATGTATGTTTTATGTATTTGTGTATTTATTTTCACTGACCCCAAACCCTACTTTATGTTACTTGAAGTCAAAAGATTTCCTTTAATTTTTAGGTTTTTATGCTAGGGAAATGATATTTTCAGGAAAAGATTAATTTTTTTGCAGTTTTATTGAGGTATAATTGACAAATAAAATTGTAAGATATTTAACATGTACAATGTGATGATTTGACATCCATATACATTGTGAAAGGATTCCGCCCATGCTTTCATTTATTAAAAATTTTTGTCGGGGCTTCCCTGGTGGTGCAGTGGTTGAGAGTCCGCCTGCCGATGCAGGGGACACAGGGTCATGCCCCGGTCCAAGAAGATCCCACATGCTGCGGAGCGGCTGGGCCCGTGAGCCATGGCCACTGAGCCTGCGCGTCCGGAGCCTGTGCTCTGCAACGGGAGAGGCCACGACAGTGAGAGGCCCGTGTACCGCAAAAAAAAAATTTGTCATTGGGCATTGCTATGTGCCAGGCACAGTTCTAGGCATTTGGAATACATCAGTAAATAAAATGAAGATTTCTGTTCCTCAGGAAAAATGCATTCTAGTTGGCGGAGATTTTCAAGAAAAAAATATATAGAACTATACTCCAATTAAAAAATAAATATATATACAGATAATAAGTGAATTGTTTAGTATCTTAGGTCAAATGCTATGGAAAAAGTAGAGCAGGGTAAGGGGGATCGGGACAGCTGGAGAGGGGTCGCAATTGTAAACGTGGTAGGTTGAGGGTACACGTCAATGAGGATGAGGCATTTATGCAAAAACCTGAAGGAGGCGCAGATATCTGTGGTATGAGCATTCTGGGCAGAGTAAGCACCAATAGAGGTCCCCAGGGGGAATGGGCCTGGTGTGCTGAAGACAGAGCAAAGGAGCCAGCCCGGCAGGAGCAGAGTGAGCGATGGGGAGACGGCCAGAGGATGAAGTCAGAGAGTAGACTGGGGGCGGAGGGGACTCAGCACACCTTGTAGACTTTTACTCTGTGTGGGATGTGGAGCCCCTGCATGGTTTTGAGCGGGAGTGACATGATCTGACACATGTTGTAAAAGGGCACCTCTGGCTCCTGTGG